ACAATGGCCAACCAAAGTTTTATATAGAAATATATACGAAAATTCTTTAAAAAATTTTCCTCTCAAGAACAGCAAGGCCATAATCGTTTATATTTATATGGAAGCATCCCCAGGTAGTGTAGATTCAAGTTTGTTCAATTCATGAACCCAGGGGGTAGGGCGAGGCCACAATGGCCAACCAAATTTTTATATAGAAATATATAGGAAAATTCTTAATAAATCTTCTTCTCAAGAACAGCAAAGCCATAATCGCTCGTATTTATACGGAAGCATCCTCAGGTAGTGTAGATTCAAGTTTGTTCAAATCATGACCCCCGGGGGTAGGGCGGGGCCAAACATTTGGATTTAAACTTTTTAATAGTAAACCAATTTCTACTTTTTCCTAGCCACAATGCTCGGGTGAGCGATGTAGCCTATGGGCCTCTTGTTTGTTATGGTATGCATAATAGTTATTTTATTAGCAGTAAGCTAATTAAATGATACCCAACCTCCCATATGACTATAATAGTTAATATTAACATTTCCAATGTCTTTGTTCGAGATAAAATTACAAATAGTTAATGTATTTTTTTTCTACATTAATGTACTGGCTCATCGATGAGCGCGGTGAAAAAAACACGTGCGGGGTGGGACACATAGAGACAGAAGAGAGGCTTGTAGCACGAGGATTAGCGGAATTAGGAACATGTAAATATAAGGAATAACTGTCAGATCTTTGGATTTCTTGACGATGATCAATCGATTGGCTTGCGAGATAATTTTATGCAAATCAACATGGAAGTCACTCGATTGATCCCATCACCCGAATTTAAAAAAAGATAGAGTTATTAGTAATCTTTAAATGTTGATCTGGACGACAGAATATTGGACCAAATAGCTAATTAATAGCTGCATAATAGCATAATATGAACAAAAATATATTAAAGTTTCGTTAAAATTTAATTAGTTGTAATAGGAGAAGTTGCGGATAAAAGATGGATATCCTTCAATATTATAGCAAGGATGGCATTGCCCATGGTTTGCTATGGAAAAATAAAAATATGCATCGATCAAAACTAAAATAAGACATGCACAATGGCACCATGTACCAAACATTCTGTGAAAGTCATCTCATTAATTTCATGCAGTAGTTTAAGAGGAGTTGCGGATAAGAACATCCCGACCATTATATACCCTCCCACTTTTCAAGCAGGGGTATCATAAGGTGTTATACGTATAATTTAAGAAGAAATGTCTAATGAACCATAGGCTTAAAAATCGGAATGGGTCCTTTTCACAGGTACATGTACATGTACCTGTGAAACATATTGATAAATGCAGACATTCTTCATGCAATCATAGGCCGTTATTTTCTTATTAAATAATCTTAGGATTTTCCATGTTTGTTTGCGTGATCAAGACAAGAGTTATACGGGGGATAACCGATCGACAGGGGGCGTTTACCCCTCCATGGCACTTGATTATACCTCTGATGGTTTTGAAGGTCCTTCTTTGTGTACATGTATTGTTTCAGTTGACTTTGGAGTTTGATTGCTATTTTTTATCTTGAAATATCATCAATAAAACATATGGGAAAAACGTACAGTACTCATATTAAAAGTCCGTAAAACAATTTAAAATAGGAGCAGAGCAAACACGGATCTCAAATACATCAGACATCAGGCTCCGGGGCCATAAAACTGAGACGAGCTCACTTTTGATCTCAGTCTCACTTTTACCAAAGGATTTAAAAGTAGAAAAGTGAGACTGAGATCAAAAGTGAGCTCATCTAAGTTTTATGGCCCCGGGGCCTGATCAGGTGCCATGGAGGAGCGAGCATCCCCTATCGACCGGTTATCATCTACCACCGTGTGCTCCTTATGCCTGGGGTTGAACTTCCGACCTAAGGAATCTGTCTCCTAGCAGTACAGGAACAGAGCATCAGACCGCTCGTCTATCCAGGCAAGTCAAAAAACTTGCTTTCGATGCTGATGGAATTCTCACAGCTCCGCTTTACACTACATACTGGCGAGGGCCCTTGATTGGTGAAAAAACATATATATACTACATTGTAAGAATTAGATACACTTATTGAAGTCCAATATAAAACTAATTCTTGTTTCCATAATTTTTATAGGACACCAGAGGTAGCAAAAAGTTTATTTGACCTGATGTCCCTTTATGGTGTATATCATTAGGGGCAGCGGTCACCTTATATTAAACATCATAAGGAGGACCAAAGGTCACCTTATATTTACATAAATAGGAAGAACAGAGGGTGTCTTATATCATATTGTACATAAGTAAGGGGACCAGAGGTCACCTTATAGTGTACCTCAGTGGGGGGGGGGGGAGAGACTAGAGGTCACCTTATATTGAACAACAATAGGGGGACCAGAGGTCACCTTATATTAGAGCTTTTTAAATAGTATTTGTTGGGAATACATTCGTAAATATGTGTTTATATACAGATGTATATGATAAAGACATAATTCCTAAATTTATAGATGATATATCTCTTAATGTCCTCTTAAACTAACTTTAATAGAAATTTTAACAACTATCTAGTATCAATGACATATAAAAAAAGATTCATGTTCATATTTAGGTCAAAGATAAAACTCATGATCAGAATGTGTCTTGTTGCAGGGTAAATGCCAACTAAATGGTCAGCTGGGATTCCATCCATAGGTGAGAGTACATGCTACCATCCAAGATTTGGGAGGAGAGTCAAAGTGAAGACAAACTAATTTAGGTTCAGGTAAAACTTTAGTCTTCATATTCACTACAGTTGTTAAAGGAGTCACTTATATTGATGAAAGTGATAATTTTCACCAAGACTTAATTTTAATACATGAAGTACTTTGTGAAATTATTAATTATGCCCCCCTTCGAAGAAGACAGGGCATATTGCTTTGCTGCTGTCTATCGGTCGTTCTGTCTGTCTGTCAGTCCACCTAGTTTCCATTCATTTTCCTCACTACCATTGCACTGTCGCACCATTTTTGACAGTTATACCCCTTGGACTTTAAAAAATTCCAATTATCTGCAGCTACCATTCTTTTCTTTGCCGAGGTTGCACATACTGAAGTGAACTGTAGTATACAGATTTATCAGATAACTATCTAAGTCAAGTTATGTTTTGGGTACAATCATGCCATTTTTGACACAGTTATGCCCTTTTGGACTTTAAAAAATTCCAATTTTGGGGAGAGGGGGCAAAAATGTTTAATAAACATCTCTTTTTTACCTTTGAATTAATCAAATAAGGTCATAAAGTTAGAAAAAAGGCTTCATAAAGCAAACTTCTTAATTTATTGAACATCTTATTGATTAGAAGAGCAAAAGATGCACCTGTACAGTTAATAATATATCAAATGCTTGATTTTTGATTAGTATTTCCACTAGTTTTTAATAGTTTTAATTATTATCCATCATTTCATTAATTTTCTTAACAATTAGGCTGATTCATATGTTTCATATGTTTTAATATCTTTTCTTTTTCTTTTCATGTGTGCAAGGAGAGCCATACACTCGGAAACCAGCATCTCAGTTGTGTGTTCAGTTCAGTTGCAGGTTGGCTATGGCATATCAGCATGTGATTTAGGCCTGTGCTGTATTGTCATTTGTTTGGTTAAGCTTGCACCTCAGGATCATGTGCTTTGAAAAGATGACAAGGAGTTCCTTTCTCAAACTCTTTTTTTTCAAATTTATATCAAATCTCCCTTTCTTGAGTTTTGTTGTCCCGAGAGAACTTAATTAGCTATGTTTTAATTTTAAAAGCATGTTTGAAGTATTTGATGGAATTTATTTGATTTTAAACCAAAGTGTGACATGAGTTTTTTTTTTAATTGATATTCATCCATTGTTCAGTTGTCAATGTAAACTATATTTACTTATTTGAATTTTTCTCTAAAATCCTCAATTTTCAACCAAACTTTGCAAAAAGCATTATTGAATAAAAGGGATTTAATTTCTCCTTTGAATGAACATATACATTATGTAGTCTGCTGTAATTATTTACCTTAGTACAATAATAAATAACTCTGATGACTGCATGTATGTTAAGGCCTTTTGTTTTGTCAATAATGGATCCTTGGAGAAGGTTGAGGGTAACAATCCCTTTGGGCAGACTAAGGTCACCAAATTGGGTCAAAGTTGCAATATTAGGAGTAATTGTTTTAAAAACCCTTTTCAGAATTATCAATAATATGAATCAGGGAGAGTTATGACCAAATGGGCTTTTTAGCACTGGTTCTTTGCCCTTGATTCTGTTCACTGATGATTAAAATTGGTTTTTCTGGGATCTGTAGCCAGTTAACCAGTGTGAGGGTACCAGTCTAGCCTTTAGCACTTTTAGTGCATGCATAAAAGTTCTTTAATCTAAAAAAAAGACTTTTTTTAAAAATGGTTGCTACATGTAACTGATAAAGCCAGGTCAATTAAGAAATGAATTTCATTTTTGAAGATTCATGAGGTTATGAGCTACGACGCTTCACGCCGGTATATTTCATGAAGCGCGTTAGCTTCCATTAATCCATTATTGTTAAACCATTTTAGTCAATTTGATAATATCATCTTATAGATCCAATATCGTTACATCTTTTTATGCAAAAAGAAAAAAAAATCTTTTGAAATAGAAGGCCCCTATCTCATGACTGGATGCAGTTATTCTTATTCTTAATGACCAGGAAAAAGGTAATGACCTTGACCTGAACTTGACTCTAAAATAAAACGGTCAAAGTTAATTTAATAATACCATCACTTAGTAATATTGTCTTCTCGATTCTGTGAAAATGTCTTTAATTTTTAAATACAAGAAATACAGTTGTGTGTGAGAAGAATCCTACCTTAAGAGTAATTGAAAGGTATTGCAATATTATTTTCAGTGCGTTTAATTAAAAAAAAAACATTTAAAAGTATTTTAGAATCAATTACAAATCACTTCAATTACTGTCAAAATGCAATCAGTGACAATAAATTTCATATTTTTTAAAAAATCTTAAAAATATGTATAGGGATAAGTATATTTTTAATTAATACAAAAACACATGACATCATGTACATAATTTGTCTTATAAGTGCAACCTCTGGACATTTTTTTATTACAAATCATATTCATTAAGATGACAAAAAAGATTTCCTTTAGGTATTCACCGCAACTTAGAAAGCTTTCCGTTCACAAACATAATTCAGTTTATAGGAACACGTGTTATCATTCCAGCCTCCACCACTTAAGTCCAGACAGTCCTCAGCTTGATTGCTCGCCGGATTCGTCACCCTCCAGTTGGTATAGTTAAACACCTCGTCTGTTATCCACATCCAATTGCCTTCCTGTAAGAAGTCGTGTCCCCCGAGCCAAGTATACCCATGTGACATGTCTACTAAGGTTTTCCTTTCGCGGTGTACGTAATCCAGTATGAACTGTTCTTCCTCTGAAGAATGAACTGTTGCAAGATGGCCGCCAAGGCGTTCACAAGCTACTTCCGCATCTTGCCAGGATTTTGGAACAACGCCAAAATAATAACAGTTATTCTCGAACATTTGCCAGCCGTCTGGACATCTTGGTTTCAAAGTTGTAGCACATCCACAGGAAGATTTGACCTGTGTACTTAATTGTTGGATCACCTGGCGAAGTTGTGAAATCTCTGCCATGATTTCATCCCCATCTCCCGGATTTGCCAGAAAAGCAGCAGAAAATCCATAGAATGTGACAAGTAACGCCAAAATCAAAAGCGAGGACATTTTAAACGCTCAAAATAATCTAAGAGTGCCAATTCTTTATCTTTAATTATACCCATGTACAACTTGGTTACGAAAAATTTTTATCAATCCTGAAGTTCTATTTACTTTACCTGAATTGTTTCATTTCTTACCTGTCTAATTTGTACTCTAATTTAAACAGACTACAATATCTAAACTTTTACTTTTTCATTCAAGATTTTTTTTATCCTTTCAAAATTACAGATAGATGAAAAATCATAAATACTTCTTAAAAGTACATTTTATTTATTGTAGGGAAGTCTCAAGACATGAAATACTAGTATGTATTTTTTTATATAAATCTTATTCATATACCTTTTAAGGGCAAGTTATACAAACCTTTAACAAAACTCATATTAATAACACTAACATGAATGAATTTAATCGAATGTATATTTTATTTTTTTGTTCCAAATATCACAAAAATGAAATCAAATTGCATTAAAA